TAATAAAAAATAAAAAATAATAAATAATGAAATTCTTTGTTTAAAAAAGACACTCATTTTATCAATAAATGATAAAAATGCGAAAAAAATAGATATCTAGATTTAAATAAAAAAATAATGACTCTTGGAAAAAAGTAGATGGAACGAATATCAATTTTATTTTTATATTAAAATCAAATAAATATTAAATGAAAGAACTAATATTAAAATAAAATATGTCTTAAATAATTATTTAAGATAAAGTAATATAAAATAAAAAATAAAATAAAAATTTCATTAAATTAATTATTTGAAAACATTTGATCTTAGTTTCAATAATTAAATTTTAAATATTTTCGATATTTTCTTTTTAGATATTATAAGATTTTTTTGCTACATTATTTTTATTATTTTATAATATTTGTATATTTATAAATTAATGATATTATTATTATATTTTTCAATCATTACAAATCACATTTTGATATATTTTGGATTTTGCCAAATTAAAGTATAATGTTTAGTGAAATTAGCGAGGGAAAGGTTTAAATCCGCATTTTGTTGCTTTCCTTATTTGTTTAAAATTTACAATTATTTTTGAATTTAATGATTTTTGACAATTTTTCTAGAAATATATACATAATATAATAATATATGTATATAATAATAATATAAATATATACATAGAAATATATACATAGAAATAATATATGAAAATTATTTAAATGTAAAAATATTACTTATAAATATCATATTTGATTATATAAATGAGAAAAAATAATTTATAATATAAATATAAACAAATATATTTTTCCGAAAATCAGTAAAAATTGTAATAAAATTTAAAGATCTATAATTTTTAAACAAATACAAAATTAACAAAATAATGATGATTTAAACCTTTTTAATTTTAAAGAAAAACTTTATCAAATATATGTCAATTTAAGCAAAATCTATCAAAATCAAAGTGATTTGGCATGGAATAATTTATATATATGCATATTGTGTATATTATTATATATATTTATTATCTTATCAAATGATTTGAAATTTTATAACTTACTCTTCACCAGCAGCTAATTGTCTATTTTTTTGTGCGATTTCTTGACTTAATTGTTGTACGTTTAATCGCAAATTCTCGATTGTATCTTGTGCGTTTTGCTCACGAGTATGAGCGGCATCTGCTCGTTTCAATACACGTATTACATTTTGCTTTAACATTTCAATCTCATCGTCCCTTCTTCTAATTGTTTGATTTAATTCGAATATATTGTGTGTATTCATAAAATTTTCTTCCTGTTTTTTCAAATTATACTTAAATTAGTTATTTTTGTTAAGAATCTTTTACACTAATAATTCGATATGAATTTTAATAAATATTTAATAAATATTTTTAATAAATTTTTAATAAATATTGATAAAATTCATATTGTACATAATTGATAGAATTAATTAAATAGAATTTGATTTTAAATTCTATTTAATCAAATTCTATTTTATGACTATTAATTAGCTATGAATAGCATTTCTATTTATTATACCTTTAATGAATGTATTTTTTCCGTCAACTCTTTTTCTAGTTTGTGTGCATTATACAGAGCTTCAAAAAGTTTGGTATATTCTACCATGTAAGGAGCCAGCGCTTCATTGGTTTTCATCTCTTCCAGTATCTAAATAACAAAATAATTAATATAGTTATAATATTAATTCCTTTATCATTTTTTTAATGATTATTAATTCTTATCATTTCAAAAATCTTAAATATCAGAATAATTTTATTTTTCTTACAACTTTATTATTTAATATCTACAAATATCTATCTATCTAAATATTGAATATTTCTTAACTAAGATTTTTTCAAATTCTATTAAAAATTTTAATTTATTTTGTTATTAAATTTTTCTATAATATTTATAAACTTTATTATTATTCATATTATTATTATTTTTCATTTAAATGAAAACAGAATATTTCATATCTAACTCTCCTCAATATTTATAAATTTTTCATTAAATATTCCGTTATATTTATTATAATTTATTATCATTTAGATATTACCATTAGAATTCCTGAATATTTCACGATTAAACTTTGCCACAATATTTACTTAGTCTTAATTATATAACTTATTATTATTCAACTATATATAATATCTAACTATATATTTCAAATTCTAACATAACTGATTTTCCTTATTTATTTTCCAATATCCATATACAATCCTCTCAATATTTATTGCTATAATAAAATTTTGATAAGAGTTCAAAATTTAACCATTGCATATCATAATTAGTGAATAAATGATTTTTTGAAAGCTTCTATAACGACAATATATAAGTGACAAAAAAATTTTATTTTTGATTTTTTGTTAAAAATTTCTATATCATTGATATTTTTTTGATTAAAATAAATTCAACATAATGTAATTATATAAACATGTATAATTATATATAATATATATAAATCTTGAACAATTGTCAAAGTGAATCATCATTAGAAGTCAAATTAATATTTTTCTACATCACTAGATGATTCTTTTCATTGCATTCTTTCATTCCATTCATTTCATGAAAGTATCAAGTGCAAAAATATATTATCACGATCTTATAATTCATTAGAATGAAGAATCATTCTATTAATTGATTAAAATACCGCATATGAACAATAAACAAACAGAAAATTATTGCATTCGAGAATAATTAATTTTATTTAGTTCAGTTATTTAATTAGAATTGTTATTATTCGATGCAAATATAATCGAGTTTTTAATGAACAGATCTGAGTTTTTTATATTTTGCTGATAATAAATATGAATACAAAAAGATAGCAAGCGAGAAAAAAATTTACAAATCCAAACAATCAATATAATTAAATTATAACAATCGTATCTCATTTCAATTAGAGAAATTTCATAAATATATAATTGAAATTTTTATCAACAAAAAATCGAAAATAAAAAATTTTCGTTGTTACATTAGTATTATCATACCAATACAAAGGCAATACAAATCTTTAAAAGAAAACCGCTAAAATAACCATAGATGGGAATAAACCACAAATAGTTTAGCTTGCCAATAATTATCGAATTTCTATTATATTTCTTTCTTATTATATATTATTATTCGATTATTTAATATTAGATATCCTAAATATAATTAATTTTTCTATATATATAATATTATATAATTCTATATTCTTCGATATAAATTCTAAATATATTATGATTAACATTTCTATAAACATTTTCAAATATTCTATATATAGAATCTTTATATTCATCATTTCTGAAAAACTAACGAATATAGAATTAAAATTTTTTTTACAATAAGAAAAAGAATAATTCTGAATTATGAATCAATAAATAAATAAAAATTTAAACAGAAATTTATTTTTTATTAAGAAGTATGATATGATAGTAGAAAACAATAAAAAATTTTTGATGACAAATATTCGATTATTTGACGAATATTATATTTTTATCATAAAAATATAGTAAATATTAGATTTGAATAGAGGTTCCATTGTATATTTTTCATAATATTCTTAATATTTCTTAATATTTCCTAATCCATTTTCATTCACTACATTCATTTCTAATAAAATATCTCTGATATTTTTATTAATTTCTCTTAATGAAACATTTTTCGAAGATAAAAATTTTCTCACCTTCGCGTATTGCTTTTCAAGATTGCAAAACGTAATGCTCACTGAGCTGCCCTCCGACGTGCTTACGCTAGTCTCGCTCGCATCGTCCTGAAACACGTCATTCAATGCTAACAAAATACTCTTCGTGTTCTTGATAACTTTTTCATGATTATCGTTACCTAGCCGCGCCACTGGCCGCGCGATATTTATCACGAACTTTAGGATCCACGAAATTTACGACCGATTCTTTTTTTCTTTTCTTTTCCTTCGTGTCTTCGAATATTACGATAGCCATAATCAAACTTAAGAGACAACAAATATTAGAAGAAATCAGTTTTAGATTCCGTTTTAAATAGCTTCGATATTGGCGATTGATCCCATGTCTGAGATTTTCTGTTTATTATCGAATTTATTACGAATTTATTTATTATATTCTATATTTTATGTTTATACTATTCAATTATTTCAACGATCTTTATATAAAAATATGAGGAATGAGTTTTAAACCGAAATATTAATATTATAAAATATTGTAAATGGTATATATTAAAAATAGTAATTCTTAAATTAAAAATTTAACCAAAATTTTGTTAAATTAAATGTTAAGTTAAAAATTGTATAAGTTTAAAATTATATGTATTCAGAAAAATTATTGCAAGGAAATTTTATGTTAAAAATTTCTACATGAAAATGTTCAAACTAATATTCTTTTGGAAAGAAAATTAGTTTTTTTCTAATTAATATTTTTAAAATTTTTCAATTTAATATAAATTAATATAAAATTATAAATAAAATCATTGAAGAAAATGTTATATTATTTTGAAAATATTTAGATATATGAATAATTATGAATTTATTAATTAATTATTTATTAATTAAAAATCAAAATTTTATTTAGATTTATCTTTTTTTTAAGTAAGTTATTTAATTTATTGAATAATGTAATCATTTTTTCATGAGAAAGATATTCATATCTTTAAAAGATTATAATATTGCTCAATCAATAACTAAACTATTAGTTTATGAAATATATATAAAAATTTTTCTAAAATCTCACAATTTAGTTTATAAATTTTGTTAAATTCTAAATACAACACACGTAATAATATCAAAGGAATCATATCGCCTTAAGTCTTATTAAACCTTATTGTAAAAATTTACAAAATAAAATTTAAAATTGATATATATAAAATAATTATATCGATATATATCGTTAATATATTGTATAAATTATTTATAATCCTTCTTTTTGAATAATTTCTTACCGCAGATAGTCGCGCGGTTAGGTTATCGATACTTGAAAGAATTCAATTTTAATAACAACATCAATAATTTTGTTCTCTTCAGGCTTATCGTCGTCCATTATGAATAGTTTAGTTTATTAAAAAAGTTATTATACTAAATTACACGTATAAAAGCAAAAAAAATCTACGAGAATCGAGAGCAAAATATTTAAATATCGTTCCATAATTTCCCAATGCAACTTGATTTATAGCAATGAAAAATGAATATCGTTTATTTTAAATATATTCGTTTTTTAAAAATATCTACTTTACATCTTACGTATGTATTATGTTTTTATTTATTTTTTAAATTCTAAATAAATTATTAAGCAAAATTTTAAAAATATAAGTATATTAATATAATATATTAATTTAAAATTCATTGTTTTTAATACTTTAAACTTATTATAATTTATTATATTATATTATAACTTATTATATATAAATTAAGAATATCGATAAAATGTATAATAAAATTTCTATATTTAAAACTATCATTTAGAATTATTATTATAATTATAATTAATAATTATTATAATTATAATTTAGAATTATTATTATCATAATATAATATAAAATTAAAATTTTTATATTATTAATTACAAATATTAATTATAACATAATTAATTATAATATAATTTTGAAAAATATTAAAAGTATATTAATTAGATATTTTATTTTTAATTTGGAGAATATTTAAAAAATGTATAAAAAATATAAATATATAAATACTTACATTCAAACCAGCGTTCATTTCCATGTCCATCATGATTACAATTTAAGATATTTTTTATCTTTTCTTTTTCTTCAAAATTTTAAAATTTTATTTTATGATATTTTATAAGCTTAATTAAAAATAAATTAATATTAAATTAAAATATATAATATGTCCAAGATTATAATTTTCACTTATAAAAATTACAAAAATATAATAGAATAATTAAAAAGTAATAATAAAAAAATAAAATATAAGATAAAAGATATAAACATAAAAAAATAAAAAAAAAAAGTTGAAAAAAATTCTATTAATTAAATTTTTATCATGTTATTGGCACAATTATCAGTCAAAATATCAACAATTGCAATATTTTTTTATAATATTTTATATTGCAAAATTATCAAATTAAAAAATTAAAAAAAAATAACAATCGACAATAAATAAAAATTAATATATTTAATTTTAATTAACAAATTTTATCAAACAACAAAAAACACTACACGAAAGAATGTTCTATTAAACAAACCTCGATTATCGAAATTTCCCTTGTTGATTGGTATCCATGGAATCCTTTAGTAATCCTTAATTCCTTAGTGAAAGTGAAAGTCAATATTGATGTATAGTAGTTGTTCGTATAGGCCACATATGAAAAATGTATTGATAATAATGAAGAATAAAAGGAAGAATTCAACATTATTCAATATATTTTTTTGTTCTATATGCCGGATCTTATAAGTATTTTTTTATTATTTTAATGTCATTTTTGGTATCATTGATATAATATGAAATTGTAATAGAATAAAATTCTAATAGTTAATAATGATAAATTTAGAATTAATTTTAATAATATCTTAAAAATATTAATGTCTTATGTTATAATTTCAATAAAGAAATTAATGAACATTATAAAATAACGTTTATGTTGTAAGATAAGAAAATCATTATAAAATATAATAAAAAAATCAAACAATTTAAAATATAAAAGAATATAAAAGAATCTATAAGATTTTTCACAATATTAATATATTAAAACAAAAGAATTCTATTTGCCCTTGCATATCTTTATATTTTTAATTTGATTAATGGAACTTTTATTTTATATTATGATTCATTATTATGATAAATTTAATTTTTAATTATTTCATAGCTATTCTTTTTTGCAAAATGATTTAGAATATTCTAACACAATTTTAAGTTGAATAATTTAATACATTTATATATAAAAACTTAATATAATATATTATAAATTGAATAATAATAATTATAAATTGAATAACTTAATATGATATCAGAAAAATTTGGATTTAATTTTAAGTTATATCAATTATTTAATTTATTATTGTAACAAATTATTAGAATAAAAATTAAATATAAAAGTTACAAAATTACAAAATTATTATTCAAAAGTCACAAAGTATTTTAAACAAATTCAAAGAATGTTCGATTCCAAAGGTTATTTTTCACGAATAATATTTTCATCGAATTTCTAATTGTTGCTTTAAAGATTATGCACTTTAAACAAATATCGTTATATTTTGTTATGCACTCAAAATTTTAATTGCAAAATTTATAAATATTAGATTATCAGACTTCTTTATTATAAAATTAATTTTTTCTATTACAAAAGTATTTTTAGATAAATATACTCTAAGAAATAGTAAATTAATTTTGAATTTAATAAATTTAATAAATAATAAATTAATAACTAAAATTTTTTTAAGATGTAAATAAATGTAATAAAAATAAAGTTATTAGATTATGATATTATTAATATTATATCATTATATCATTATATAACATCATTATATTCGTATCGAGAAATTATAAAATTGAATTTTAATAATATAACTATTAAATTATAAAATATCAGTAAAATATTGAAATACTAAAATATTTTATTTTTTCGAAGTTTACAGATAGCTAGTTTATCGATAGTACTGACGATATGTATATTTTTATCCATTAAGTTAGAGTTATCATATGAAGAATGATTTATCATGTCCGACTGATGCTGCAAAATTCTGCAAAATCTGACGTACGTGACTTTGCCGACTTTCGCGTGACTTTTGACTTCGTCTAATCGTATACAACAATATTCCCAATTTTCTTTCTTAAATTTTGTTTTTACTCATTGTCCTGTTTTTACTGTTTTCCTTTTCACTTTCATTCTTCGCTTGTAATCTTGCAAAACGATATGCTGCGTCGTTGAAATATTCTTGAAAATAATGTCGATTAATTTTCAAGATATCGGATCAGTAAAAATTTTTATAACTTCCTATCTTTTTTCTTGATTATTATTAGTATTAATAGAAGAAAATCTTTTAGAATGATAGATAGAGGTAAATGGATAATGATGAGGTTCGCGTAGTTTTTTAAATTATTTGTATTTATAGCATTGTAACTTTGAGAGTCTATTTTCAAGATTTAAATTCAATAATAAATTTTAAAAATATAAAATATAAAATATAAAATAAAAATAATATATAATGTATAAAGATTTATCAATATTAATAAAAAATAATGAATAGGATTTGAATCTAATTTAGAAAAAAATTAAAATATTTAATTAAAAAAAAATACTAAATTCTTAGAATCAAAATTACATTATTAACTAATTTTATTAAATTTTATTAAATTTTTATTTAATTTTATTAAATAAATGAAAGTAAAAACATTAATGTAAATATAAAAGAATAAGTATGTAATAGTAAATATAAAGTATTAGATTTGTCTTATAAATAATTCACACTTTATAAGGAAATATAATCGTAGTTATATAGATTTTTATAAGTATCATTCAATGTCGAGAAATATTTAATCATCTTTTATGATTATCTTTTAGAATTTCTTCTCAACTTGAAATAATAGGACACATTGTCTTTTTATGTTATATCATAGATGATCTATCATTCAATAGTATAGATTCTTGTAGTATAGGATTTTTTATATTGTTGTTTTATATAAAATATCAATAAAAAATCAAAATACTTGTTATGCTTCTATATTATAGAATAGCGAGTGTAAGATTTATATTCAATCTAATTACTGAAGTAAAGAAAATAAAAATAAAAATAAAAATAAAAATAAAAATATAAATATAAATATAAATATAAATATAAATATAAATATAAATATAAATATAAATATAA